ATTTGGCAGTATTTTAGGGCAGCCTTGGATTTCTATAGGAATAGTACAGAGCAATCTTTTGCTTCCTAACATATCCTTTCTGACAGGCCACTCATTCACTGCAGTTCCCAGCACTAAAAGCGCGTAACAGCCATGATAATTAAAAAGAAAAACATTTCTTGAAACTAAAAAAACAAAACAAAACAAACAAACAAACAAAAAACCAACCACAAAAAAAAACTAATGCAGAAAAAAAAATACATTACCTGTTTACCCGCTAACATTCTAGTGTGCACTCCATGCAGATTAGGTGTGGTTGCCTAAAAAGAAGATAGGGTAGTAATTCTAAAGTAATTCCTGCTTAGTGTTTTGGGCTGCGTCATGTTTTAACCTGCAGTAGGTTTCAGTATTTAAGGGACCTAGTACACACTGTAAAGGAGCCAATAATCATTATTTATTGCTAGAGTTACATTAAAACCAACAGTGATATGTTTTTCATCTGCTTGAACACTTCCGAAAATCCTGCTAATCCTCTGTCTTCACCTTTCGGTACCTGATGCTTCTGAAAATCTAGCCTTTGGCTCTAAACCATTAAAATCAACTTAGTTTTTGCCCTTGCTGCTGGACTTCTAATGATCGGTTCAAAACCAGCTAGACTCAATCAACCATCTAATGCTACATTTCAATTTCTTTTAAAACCAAAACCCTGTTTCTCAGCTCCTGTGAAACAGCTCCTACACAGGGTATTGATTTATACTGTGTAAATTCTGACTTTCTGAGGTTATCTTCTGAGTCTTTTCATTATTCATTCATGCTAATGAAGTTTGATCACTGCCTTTCCTCTGTGTATTTTAACTGGGAAAAAAAAAGAGATCTTCTGAATAATAGAAAATCCCCTGTATGTCAAATTTGGCTGGAATTTCTTCCTTAGTCTCACCTGGAATTAATCCTGTTTTAAGATGGAGTGATGGGTAAGGAAGGGGCAAAATCGGGAGTATAAATCGTGACCTTAAATGTCATTGTATAGCTACCAGTAGCACATGGTGCTTTTTGCTCGCGCAGTCATTTGCCTCTCAGGGTAGGATTCGTGTCCCCCAATTCAAGCCAAGGAAAGATCAGGCATTTAGCCTAACCCACCAGTTTGCGTTCCCTCTTTTGCCAGTGGAGAGCCGGCCTGCAGAGTGTCCCCTTGCAGCTGCCTACAGCTCTAGGAAGAATCTGAAGATGCCTCTCTTGCTCCATTAACTAGATGATTAACTTGGTCTAATTTTTTATGCAATTACAATTGGCTGTGTTGAATTGAATTTAGGTATTTGTGACTATGAACTATCAGATCTTTATAATGAACTTTATATACAAGTGTTTATTTTAGTGCTTACATGCTTTATAAATTGCAAAATGTCTTTTGTTTCTGCCTTCCACAAAGGTGAGCTGAGATGAGTTTGCCTTAGGCCCTACTCAGAGAACCAGAGCTATAATGCATTTTTTTAAAAACAGATTGTTTCCTGGACTCAAATAATGGGCAAACATTTAATTACTCAGATCAACTACAGCACTCCTTGCTGAGTGGATTCAGTCTATTCAACTTAAAATAAGAAAATCCCATTTCCAAGCACTACTTACAAATCTCCATATGGAAGATTCTAGCTTTTCAAAAATTTATTTTATTTTATTTTATTTTTTTACTTACAGATGTATTAAATATTGCAGACAAGGATGATGAGCTGCGGTTTGTTTTGGTAAAACCGAACAGCAGAACTTCATGCTGGGCAGACTTTGTGTTAGAGAAGAAAAAAAAAGGCATGAAGCCTAATAAACATTAGAAAGACTGTGTTTTGTTTGTCAGAGACAAGAGGCTACAAATGGAAAGGTGCCAACTGGGACACTGAAAGCTTGAAAATGCTTCAACTATTGTATGTGTTTTCTTGCTTTTGGCTTTGTTCTTCATTTGAATATTAGTAGTTAAAAGGTAGGAAGCTACCCAGACATCACCTCTTCTTTTCCTTTTGTCAGTTCATAACCTCTTTACACAGTTTCCTAGACCAGCCAGTAGGATTCAAAGGCTCTGTCCAGCCATTTTGAGAAAACTGCATGCCCCTGGGTTGGTGGTAGGACACGAACAGGCTTCAAAGATCTGGTTTGGATTCTTGTTTCATGCAGATTTTATCTCAGTATGCCAGACATAAAACCAGATAATCCACTCTTTTCCAGGGGGGTGTGAGAATACTAACCTAGGGGCTCCTCAGCCTCATTGAAGCTTCTGGTTTTGATTACAAAATATATTTTTTTTAAATTATCATGTACCTCCCTCTTGTAAACTGATAGGTCTGCAGGGAAAACATTCCTAAATGTGAATTTCTCCAAAATATTACACCCTCCCTTTCACTTAGGAAGGAAGACACTGTTACAACAGGTCTGATAGGCTGCGGTAACTTCTAGTCAATCTGCTTCTGAAAGACACTGGCGGTTCTTCCCTCTGGTGGCAATTCCCACTTGCTGAAAGCAAATGGAAAAAAACCCTTTCCTGGCAAGGTGTTTTTTTAGCATTCCTGAGGAAAATAAGGATTTTCCTAAACTGAAATTCTCAGAATGATGTTTATTATATACAATTAAATTATACTTCTATATATAAGAAAAAAAAAGAGAGGAAAAAAAGGCAGGCTCTGGATTGTGGATTTAGGTTATATAGAAACCAGTAGTATTGTATTTAAATGTGTACTTTACATAAAATATTTAAAAGTGGTTCAATATGAAGTGATTATGTAATGTTCATTTCACCTTTTGAATTCACCAATCACCATTTCTTTTTATTCTCCTTAGTTACCTCAACGATTTGGATAGGTTAGCAATGCCGGACTATGTGCCTAGTGAGCAAGATGTTTTGCACTCCCGAGTGAAAACAACTGGGATTATAGAGACTCAGTTTTCTTTCAAGGATTTGAACTTCAGGTACGAAAGCCATATTTGACAGTTTTCTGTGGTTTTATCTTTCTTAATTTTTTTCTTTCAAAGGTATCAACCTATTATAATTTTGGTAATCCCATTGTGATAGCCTTGAATCCACTCTTATTTAATATTTTGAAATAGCCAAAAAAGCAAGATATTTTAGTACCAGTACTCCAAGTTTAAGCATATAATGGACCGTTATTAAGAGATCTCAGAATATCAGGTTCTAAAAGGACATTTTTACATATGTAAGTGTCTAAAAAGCATTATTTGTATCCTGCCATTTGAATAATTGTTTGTGACATTTGTGAAATTTGCCTACCTAAATGTCCTTAACAGCATGCAAAACATTTGATGACTGCTAATTTGCATGCACTCTCAACCTTTCACTCTCTTCTTTAGAGAACGGAAATAACTGCTCTTAACACCGGAATGCATTACAGTTGGCAAAAAAATAACAATTTGTGTCCCATGGGAAATTTCAGTATTAGCATGCATGCCTTCATGCTCATTTGAGATGAAAAGCAAAATGTTCAGAAAAAATTCTTGAAAATAATGTCTCTGAGAAATTTGACTGAAAATAATTGACACTTTCAGATACCCAAGATTTTGTTATGCTTGGTGAACGAATTAAAAACATCTAATTCCACATGAAAATGTATTTGAATGAATTACGATAGTTTCAGTGTTCTATAATGCTTTTCTCTATGGACTGAATTCCATTTAATTCTTAATTTAAAGGCTGGGGTGCATATTGAGGAATGTTCTCTAGACAAGAAACTGTCTGTAGAGACAGACAGATGTATAAAGCACTAAGATTATAACTTTTACATTTTTCATTGGGCTTCTTTTTTTCTCCTCATGTGGCAATTAAACATCCCCCAAACCATCTATGCTACCACACAGATGCTTTGACACAACAGAGATTACATATACAAAATAAGATTCTGAAGTAGGTTCCCTATAAATAAATTATCACCTATTAATACACTGATCACTCGTGAAAATTCAGCAGTTACCCAACGCTGTAATGTCATAGACATCATCTTCTTTTTCTCTGATTAACATATTACCAGACAGCTTTGTACATTGGAAATCTGAGCACGTTTAGTTACAATCATAGTTTATGTAAGAAATAAAATCAGGATGGAGAAAGAAATCTTCAGAGTACAAACCCTCTTTGACATGAAAGCTACCAGTCCTGATATTAGAATATCAGAATTGGTGTCTAGGTCCAACTAAAATGCAGCACAACTGAGAATTAAATTACCGGAGTGTCTGTAAACAAGAGGAAGGCTCCTAATGCCACCACAAACACAAAAAGCCACTGTGCTTAGCCTCTCTGCTATGCATCACTGCAGTGTTAAGTGAGTAAATTAATTGGTGGTTTTAGGCACTTAAGTAACATGAGGTGAAATCACTACAAAATAGTCTGAGGGTTTTGAGCTGATACAGGGATGCAGAGCATATAAATCCATCTTAACCAGCCAGTTACTGCTACTTTGCATTGCCAGAGCAATGCAAAACAGCTGGGGGATCTTGATGACTCTGCACTTCGTTTGGTAAGTACCATAGAAATATCTATAAAAAGAGAAACACTTCCACATTCAGAGTGAGTTTCGGTTAATGTACTTAAATGAGGCTTGGGGTCACAAGCCATACATGGATAAAAAGAAAACATGAACAGATGCCTCATTCACTAAACACTCGTCCCTCTTCTGAACTGAATGAGGCAGAACACATTTTCTATCTATGCAGTAAAAGTCTAAATCCCAGTACTGCTCCAGGGAACTGAACTACAGTTGCACAGACAGCATCCCTTGTTATTTGCTATCTTCTTAGTGGTTACTTTGCTGGTTTAGTGCGTTAGCTTTCTTGTGCTCTTCAATTTATTTCAGCAATGTTGACTTTAATTTCCAGAGCTCAGAACATACTTAAATATTTTTAAAAGAAGGTCTGATCTTCATAGGTCCTCTCCTGCTGTCGTTTCCATTGATGTGCTAGGAAGAGTTTGACTGGAATCAGGCAAGCTTTATTTTAGTCTTCAGGTCTCGCTATATGCACCATTAGGACAAATGGGACAGCTAGTCCCATATCTGTAGCTAAGTAGCTAAGTTTTCCAAGAGCAGTGCTGGGAAAATATAGAGCTTTCAAGACTAACTTTGACTGTCTTGATAAAAGAAAAATATCATCTCAGAAATACATTTTCTACCACTGACAGAGGCACTTCAGTTTTACGTGTGCGTATGTTAAGTTCTGGGCTGACATGAGAAAAGCTGAGCAAACTAAGGCTAGTACAACAAAAACTGCCCATAAGCATTGCCCCTGGCCTTGATCTTGTCCTATTTTAACTGGCTTCTCCTGAATATTCACGGGGCCATATGCTAAAAGCTTGCAGGAAGTGAATACAGATTCATACGATTATGTATGCTTGCGAAACTTCACTGCAGACTAAATTTTGAAGATTTTTCCCCCCCATAACCCTGATTTCAGAGTTACATACCACAAATCAAGGAAGACATGTAATGGCAGGTGACTTTTGGGCACTAATCACAGCCAAAAGTCAAGATGCTTTATTCATACTGACTTCACTCTTCAGTAGGCAGACTGAACTCAGTGAAGATGCGCAAGATATAAAATCTTGCTCCACAACAGCTTCCTGATTTCCTAATAATTCACATTTACAGACACCCAATGATCAGACAAAGAGATGAAATGTACTAGAAAAAAAAAAAAAATTCTCTAATTACTCCTCAGCTCCAGAAACAGTTCATCACAGGCATTGGGAAGGGCTTCATTTCTTCTAAGCAGGATGAAAAATGTAAACAATAACCTTTGTTTCCATCAGTTGCATTGCTGATGGTGAAGAAAACAGAGGATCAATATACTACAAAAAATGGTGGTTCAGTAACAAATTATTCTTGCTCTGTTTATTACTGACATGATTTTTTCATACTGAATCCCAATATTTTCACTGCTATAAAAATTGAGTTGTGTTTAATTTTCAGATACTGCAGGAGACACATCCAGAGAGTAAGATCTAATGCATTTTGTTTAAGGAAGGGATAACGCAACAGGGGATTAGGTTTTACAGTTTTAAGTTCAACAACAGGCAGCACAGGGAAAAGTCATCATGCACACAAGGAAACAGAAAAAGTAAGGGTAGGATAAACTTGATTTTTTACATGTTTTTTCTCCTTTCTAATGCACTTGAAAAATGTTCTAGTTTGGCACCTTTTATGTCAGAAAAATGAAAGAAAAGAAAGCCGTATCCCTTATCACTGAAGAACTGCAAATATAAATGGGAATTTTGAAAACGAGTGCTAAGCAGAACAACGGTAGCTTTGACGACAGCTCCATCTCAGCTGGACCCTAACTAGGGCCCTAACTAGGTCCCAGCGAGGTATGCTCCATTGGCTTTGGACCCATATAAAGAGTCCTTTAAAAGTTCAGTTGACTCCACCCAAAGGTAGTAATTTCTGGCAAAGACCAAAGGAAATATGCAGAGGAGGACAGCCCCACATTTTCCTCTCTACAAATGAAGGGATTCCTGCTCCCCATGAATTGCTGCTTAGACAGCAACTAATGAGATTGACAGGGCAGAGCCCCCCCGCCAGGCGCATGCTGCAGGCTGTACAGCTAGCTGAGCAGTCACGCCAGGGCGATGAATAGATGACTAACTATAGATCTGCACCAGCCAATTAAACATAACCAGCAGGTCAACCCGTGACGAGCTTCCAGTCATATGCCTTATTGATCAATGTGTCAGTTCACTGCAAGCAAAACTATGAAGTAACAAATAGCTGTGGATTTGAGGGTCTTTCACGTATGAACTCTGCCCTGAATAAATCCTTGCCTGGAGGGTTTAGTCCTGCACTGAGCTCTTCTGCAAAGCCCCACTTCCACAACACGGAGTGCCACCTGAAAGTACCGAATGTATTTCCTATATGCAGGTATTTAAGCCTTTATGTTTCATTTTATGCCCATTACAAAGCTGTAAATAATACATAGTACTCCTTGACCTGTTGGGATAGAAACAGACCAATATTTGGAAATGCTGGATATTTGATTGTCGTTCATCTCCAGCTGCACTCTGCAGATTAACAGCATGACTACGTCTTTATTAGTTAGCGCTTTACATTGTACATATGTTATTTTTTCTGCAAAGGATGTTTGATGTGGGTGGACAGCGATCAGAGAGAAAAAAGTGGATTCATTGCTTTGAGGGAGTTACTTGCATCATATTCTGTGCTGCACTCAGTGCCTATGACATGGTTCTGGTGGAAGATAAAGAAGTGGTGAGTCAGGAGACAAACAACCCTTTTTGCTGCTAAGTTTTAATGTACTCTCTGATCGCATATCAGAACTATTCCTGTTCCCTGATAACAATTTAAAGGCTATTATGCTGTACTGGTTCTTGCCAGTAAAGAACATTACAGTAAAAATGACATATGGGGATGAGATTTGTCAGTCTCTCATGTTTACCTTTTGCAACTCAACAGAACAGAATGCATGAAAGCCTTCAGCTGTTCAACAGCATCTGCAACCACAAGTGCTTTGCAGCCACTTCCATTGTGCTGTTTCTAAACAAAAAAGACCTCTTTCAAGAGAAAATAACAAAAGTTCATCTGAATATCTGCTTTCCTGAGTATAATGGTAAGTTTGGGGTTTTCAGAAGAAAATACATTCGGATGATTAGTGTAGGCCATGCATTAAAGACGGAGACTTTGACTCAGGTCACCTGTACATAAACATTTAAATACTAAGCATCTTATCTAGCATCTAGCCTTTCTCTCAAAAGAATGGTATGGGACAGACACGGCCAGAAGCCAATTCATCTCACCTACTCATGATGGTAGGGACTCAGGAGGGGTCACCTCTCTCTGGCGATGCTTATTTCTCTCCATTGGCGGTAGAGGAAGCTGAAGAACTAGAAGTTTCAGTTGGCTGACGTGTGGTGTGATGAACCCAGCCAACAAGTCAGTGGCTTATCGCTCACACACACCATAACTGAATCCAAGTTCTTTGTCCTTATTTTGAAAACCCATTCCATAAAGGGTCTGCCATAAAGGGAGTCTGCCTCTTCTTGTATGTCACAGCATCTACTGGAAGTAAAAAACAGCAGCTGTTCGCAGCTGATGCAAGAGAATATATCAGGCTATGTCAGAAAGTGCCAGAGAAAAACCAAAATCTGCCGGTATTTTAGTATTAACCTAATGTATTTGGGATAGGGAGCGTCCAGAATGAAGCATACTTAAAGCAGTATTATTATTATAAGACGGGTTCTGTGCACTTCCTGAAAACCAGCTCCTTCACTCCCTTTCTCAGGACACATCAACACAGCAACCCAAAATTGCTCAGTGCTTCACTGGGATAATCAAACATTTTGTGCTAGACTCAGTGGAGCTACGCCGCTTTATGCTGCCTGAGGCTTCAGACCGGCTGGGAGCCAGCAGGGGCTCTCAGCAGCAGCCGGCCTCCAGGAGCCTCGTCCTGCCCCAGCCCCACGGCGCGGCCGCGGCACCAGTGCCCACGCCTGCGGCTGTCCTAGAGAGGCACTACCGCCAGGCAGAAAAGCTGCGTGAAGAAATGATGACTGAATATATAAGCATCTGAATTTTCCCCTTTTTCCTTCTTCATTTCTTTGTCTCTTCATTTTTGAACTTCCCACCAATTTTGTCTGCTATTCCCTTTGAATTCATGCTCTTTCCTTTTTTCTTCTGTTTCTCTCACTTTCTGCTTTCTCTCTAAGGTCCTTAACTGTTTCACTTCAGAAATGAGGACTTCTGGTTAGGCATTGGAATTTAAATTTAGGTGGGCAGTTTAAACACAAAATTTTCATACCTAGTATTCTTGTTTCTTAACAGCTGTGAGGAAGTACCAGTTGAAATGTGTCTTCTTTTCTTTACTGTTCTCTCCACTAGGATTAAATACATTTGAAGATGCTGGAAATTACATCAAGAAACAATTCCTAGACTTGAACATAAGAAAAGCAGATAAAGAGATATATTCTCACTTGACATGTGCCACAGACACTCAGAATGTCAAGTTTGTATTTGATGCAGTCACAGACATAATAATCAAAGAAAATCTGAAAGACTGTGGGCTTTTCTAGCCACTCCTTCCCTTGCTCATAGCCTGACTTCTTCTCAGTCCACTTTTCTCTCTTCATCCTGTGTGCTGACTGAAATAACTCTAGGAAAGAAACATCACCAATTAGGCTTTCGTTAGCTGTGAGTTGAAGCCTTGGATGTAGCCTGAGCATTGCAGACCAACACTGACTTTCTGTACTTTCTGTATGTCAGAAGAAGATGGAGAAAAATGTTCCTGCTCCACAGAGATGCCAGACGCTGATAAATCCTACTGGAATCAAGGGGAAATTCCTATTTTAATCAATATGATTTGAAGGTAATCAGCACTTCTCAGGAAACTGGGGAGACCTCAGTATCCTGTGTTTTCTAGTGATGGGAGAAAAAAGACAATATGTAACAGATAACTGACACATTTATTTTGAAGCCTTAAGCAAGCCATAGCATTAAACAGTATCAACAGATAATTTCCATTCGGTACTCTTTTGTTTTCATGTTACATACACAACTAAAAATGACATACCATTAATTCAACAAAAGCAAATCCCCCAGACCTAACTGGTGTATGACAAAGAGCAGTGAAAATCAGAATTACACTGTTTTGTTAGAAGAGCTGAGGGACACATACATAAAAACTGCACATGTATAAAATTCACAAATGCTGCTATCCAGTTTGTAAAAAATAAAGCACAGTAAGATGGAGGTAAGTTTTCTGAATCTCTAAGGGAGGAAAAAACATTATAGTAACTGTCAGTTCCTGCATAGGCCATAGCACCCTACGTTGCCA